CAGGGTTCTGTGTAAGTGTGGTAAATTACACCTCAATTAAAGCATTGTCTTGGATTGATAATGCTTGAAACCTATGCCAAATGTTTGCTGTGGGAGCAATGGAAGGTGTTGTATGAGTGTCTTTTGTCTGCTTTTGCAACTTTATTAATTTGTGAAGATAAATTAATCTTCACCTACAATGTATTGCATCTTAGCACCATTGTTACTGACTGTATGATTTCTGGTTGAAGCTGTAACCAGAACTGAAACTGACATTTAGTATCTTTTCTTTTGATCTTACCCAGTTTCATTACTCTCCTGGAAGCAGAGAAGTGAGAACTTTTCAGCTGTGTAGAAGCAAACCACTGGGGACATTGTAATAGATCCCTGGCAGGCAATTCATAAATTTACAGGACAATTTCCTCTTCCAACTGTAAACTTTTGTTTTGGTGAAGTAAATTGGAAAGGAGAAAAAACAAGCAAACAAAAAACGCACAACTTTGTATTATTTAAGTGACCAATAGAGTTCTCATGTTTTGTTTTCTGTTAAAGCTGTCTGTATGAATTCTAGCATGTAAAGATTTTCCTGCTTTTACAGGACTCAGTGCGTTGCTTTTTCTTTTTTTAGAGTCATCAGGATTGCAAAAGACCTCCAATATCATTAAGCCCAACTGCCCACCTACCACCAGTATGTCCCCACAAAACCATGTCCTGCAGTAAAGCATCCAGACACTTCTTGAGCACATCCAGGGACAGTGACTCTACCAGCTCCTTGGTGCTGGTTCAGCACCTCACCACTTCCAGAGAAGAAATTTTTCCTAAAATTCAGCCTGAACCTCCCCTAGTGCAACTTAAGGCCACTACCTCTCATCCTATTGCTTGTTAAGTGGGAGAAGAGGCTCACCAGACTCCCACCTTATCAGACCCTCCTTTCAGCCTGTCCTAGAGAGCTATAAGCTCTCCCCTGAGCCTTTTATTCTCCATACTAAACAATCCCAGCTCCTCCAGCTGTTCCTCACAAGACTTGTGCTCCAGACCCATCACCAGCTTTGTTGCCCTTCTCTGGACATGCTGTTGATGGGTTTTCAGGCCTGTTGAGATCCATGTTGAGGAAGATGCATCATCCCAAAACTCCGTTGCTGTCTCCTGTGCTTTCTACATTTGGGCCTAAGCAAATTCAGACTCAGATGTGTGCAGCACAGTGATTGTGGATGTGATTAATGTGCAATACATGTACAATAGCATTGGGTATATAGGTTAATGCCAGCTGCTGTTATTCCTAAACATAGTTTAGACAAAGCTTTTTAGTTACAATTACTTGGCTGCATTAAGCTGTGACATTTACTTTTCTATGGGTTCTTGAATGTGCTGCATAAGCTGCTAATCACAGAAATGGCAGTTCAAGCTATTGCAGGTTGTCGGCTCAGTAGTGTCTTGAGCATCCAACCAGAGCAAGGCAGAGAACTGGAGCACATGTGATTGCGTTGGCAGCTCTCAGCTTATGCAGAATTGAAGGAAATACTTGGACTTCACCTTCCCTCTGTTCCTGAGCCGTCCCTGCTACCTGCTTGTGAGCACTTGGAGCCTGCTCTGACACAGAGTGTGCTTGATCTGTGACTCCTGCATTAATAGTAGCAAAGACTGGAAAAACTTGTAGGGATAACATGAAATCTCTGCCTAGAAACTGCTCTGTCTGGCAGTAAGAGTTGTTTTTCCATAGTGTTTCAGCAAACTATCTTGCATAGGGAACTCTGAGTTTTTTCAGTAAGATGTTAGCCTCTGCGTGCTGTTGCTTGTTTTCCTCTGAGAATGCTGCCTTAATCTCAGAAGTGTTGTCCCTTATAGCTCAGCTAAGAGCAACATCTTGGAGGCTAAGGAAGCTGTGGCTGAGTGTGTGCCTGTTGAAACACGTACACCAGAGAAAAACAAACATGGTCCAACTCACGGAAGGCTCTTTGCATCTTAGTGGTTATTTTTCTTGAGCGTGAATTTTGAATGGGAACAAGATTGAGTCAGGTGCTGTACTGCAGAATTAAATTCCACCTTCTCCTTAGGTGACAAAACAAATGAAGTAAGGGATGATCACTGTAATGGATAGGTGAGGCCTCCCTAATTTAGGCTTATGCTCTGTGTCCTTTTAGATTAATCATTACGAAGCTGTGCCAACACAGCATGTGAAAGTAAGCAGGAATGTCTTCTGGGAGTGAGCAAATTCTTCTGTTGTTTGCTAGCTATGCTAATCAGCTTGCCAAAGAAACACTGTTAATTTAGTTCAGCAGACTTTGGTGAAATAAAGAAAATTAATTTTTGAATCAACACTGAAAAGCTAGGATGGTAACTGCTTATTTCTCCTGTGTTGTCGTTTATATCACAGTTATGAGCTCTTAACGGGTTATATCAACTGAAGCACAACACAAGTGATGGATTGTTACATTGAAAACTGGAGACTTTTTTCCATGTTTTTGTAGGGACCAGACATCTGTAGCTCAGTGTATGCCCCCACATCAGCCCCTGTTGTGCTGTGTGTTGTTGCACAGCTGCTGGAGGCACACACACCCTCAGCAGTGCCTTTCCTCACATGACACCACACATAATTTGTCCAGCCCCAGCAGATCACATAGTTCCTATGGAAGCAGATGTTTCCATGAGCTGTTTGCTCTGCAGTACCTGTTGGTTTTCTGCCATTTCCCACCCAGGCTTGCTCTTGAGCTCCAGCTCCTGGCACTTTTTTCCCTTCTTGCTGAAGGGGTCAGCATGCAGGCATGGCTCATCAGGGAGAGACTACAGTGTGGAAGATGCTGAGCAAGAGGGCAGCACTGCTGGGCTGTGCAGGGAAAGCATGGGCTTGGGGAACAGGAGGGTCTCTGTGCAGCTTTGGATGAAGCTTTTGTTAAAACAAAATTCAGCACGTTTACCTGCTGCTTCAGGTAAAAGTGAAGTTTGAATGGATGAAACTGAAAACGTGCTGAATTGTAAGTTCATGCAGTGGAAGTGTAACAAATATTTGGTTTAGTAAAATAATCAGTCACACTTGAGAAAACCTATTCTCTGCTACTGAATAAGAAATTTTTTTTCTACTAGGCTCTAGCAAGATAGGAAGATCCTAGTATTTGAGTGCAGGAGGAAATTATACATGTGCAATTATACGTAGGTGATCATTCAGCCATGAGAGCTTTGAGTTGCAGTTGTAAGGCAGGGACCTGTGCTGCTCTGCTCAGTGAAACACAAAGCAGCATGTGAGTATAAGACCTTATGGCTTCCGAACAGAGGTTTGGAACTGAATTGTCAGGAATGGTGACTTTATAGAGCACTTTGGGAGGAGGAGGAACCATGATTTAGAGAGAATCATTGGAATTGCTTGGAAGAGACCTTACAGATTATCTATTTCCCTCTCCGGAATAGGGCAGTTAGAACAGTTGTTGAAACAGATCCTGTGCTTTGGCATAGCGAGGAAGGTGTCCTGGATATATTTTCAGATTTCTTTCCTCAAGAGGATGAATGAGTACCTTGTACAGCAACACTTGCAGGGAGAACAAAAACATTAAGTTCTGAGGCACCTGTTTATTTTGACATTGACACAAATTGGCAAAAGCTATCATTGATTGACATTACTCCTTTTTTAACATTTGAACTGTTGCAGCAGACTTGCTGCAGGATGGGAGTCAGATCATTTGACTTATCAGTTACATTTTGCATAATGGTCTCTTGATCTTTGGAATCCTTGTCTTCTGCTAATGGTGCTGTTGGGGATACAGGATTCTTCTGTGGGAAAAGGGGAGGAACTCTTGATGATAGTTTTCGTAAAACTAAAATCATCCCAGAGCCTCCATGTTGCAGGGATCTTCCCATTCCCTCACTCATTCTCAAGCAGGGGAAAATTGGTAGGACTGTGTTTTATTTGATTGGGAATTTCACTGCAAAGCAGAGTATTTTTGTGCTAAATGCTCATTAATCAGGATTATGTAACCTCAAGGAGCTGTTGGTAGCTGAAGTAGTACAAATGAACATTGAGTATTTTGTGCCTCTTCAGCTGGATCTGCAGAAGTCATTGACACGACAGGAATTCTGTATTTCTAAACCAGATCTCTAAAAACAATTTGTAAACTAATTTCTAAAAACAGATGCACTGCAGAATGAGGTTGGTTTTGCGAAGTATGAAATAGGAGGGTTGTTCCTTTAAAAAAAAAAAAAAAAAAAAAAGACCCGATGTGAAATATTGATAAGGTGGATTCTGGTAACAGGAGCAGTGCCTGCGGTAGGAGCTAAAGTGGGTTTTCTGGGGGCAGGTGAAGTGAAAACACTTAAACATTTACAGTTGCTGAAAACCCTGAAATGGAAGAAGCCTTCCAGATCCCAGATGGAATAAACTTATGTAATACAACAGTGGTAAGGTGTTCACTTTAGCTAGTTACTGCAGCCAGTTGCTGCAGTATAAAAAGGAATATGTTTCTATAAACCTATTCCAAATGAGCCAAAAGATGCTTGCAGTAGATCTCAATGGAAAATTACCGCAGGGAAATGCTTTTCTGTTGTACTATACAAGACTAAATTTCTAAGCCAAAAGCTTTACTTACATATCTTACTTTAAAATTATATTAAGTTCCGAAGGGTAAATGCTGTCATTGACCATTTTTGTCTTTAACTGTTGGAAACTGTACTCATGAACCATCTTTCTCTATGTGCAGTATATGGTAGTGCATATAAACTGAGACCTCCTTCTCTCTGCTGCAACTAAACGCAAGTTGGCTCAGTAGTGCTGAGATGTAATGCTCTGTTTCTGATGCTTATGATCACAGCTAATTGCCTTGCTGACTCACAGAAGAGTTTGTCAGGATGCCTTTTTATTTCCTTGCGCTGTCAGTTCCATAAAATTACAAGTGCTTTGTTTTATTTGGATTCCTAAAGAACAGCATTTGTTCCTTGGCATTACAGGATTAACATTGATTTACCTCCTGCACTGACTGATGTAATTAAAGTGCTGTGTATTGTTTAGTTTTAATGGTATTCTCCTGTTTGTTCAGATTCTGAAGACAAGCTGCTGCATCGGTAACCTGGGGAAGAGGAGTTCTCTGTTAAGACTGCAAGAAGATACTACCAACTGGTAAACCATTTTTTTTAGATGTCTGCTTGTCAATTGTGTCTGTTTTCTGTAATGTTCCAGGACAAGAAGTACAGATTACTTTGATGTATTGAAAGTAGAAAGTAGTCCATGCCGTAGTTCTTCTGTGCTTAGCAGTAGCGTACCAGACAAAAGGCACAATATTGGCTGGACAGCATGCAGATATTTAAATAGAATACACTGTGACTCAATTCCTGCTCTCTCAGTAGTAGAGGAAAAAGAGGAGTCTTTTGCCTGTGTTGGAATGTTAAACATTGGTTTTTTTTCTTTTTCCATTGAGATTAATGCGTGTCTGAACCTTTTTACTGTACCAGAGCTGTTTACTTGAAGTAATGGTGCAAACACTGAAACTTCAACTGTTATTCTCCAGAGCTTTGCAGGAGAGAAAAAAGAAGACTTTAAAGAAAGCTGATGTAGAAGCTGAATATGCTAAGCATGCTAATTAAAATTTCCAGGTGCTTTAGAAAATGTCATTAGTGCTCTTTAAATTATTCGAAGAATGTTCAGTGAGGCATCACTTTTGCTGGAAACAATACATGATAATGTAACTGAAGATGTACCCTAATTCACAGGCATTTAAAGCTACATGTAGGTTACCTGTGGTTCGGAACAGTGAAAGAATTGTTGGTGAAGAACTATAACCTCTTGCTAACAGTTTATCATTCTGTAAGGTGAGGGGTTGAGCCACGTTGTTACAAGCCAGTCACAAAGAAATGGGAGAATTTAGGACATCTGGCTTAACATAGCTATAGCATGTATGTATCCTTGGGTGGTACTAGGTCTGCATCTCACTTCTCAAATACTCACTGAATGAAGTCTTTAGCATATGTGGAAAATATCCACAAGATGTAAACTAAACCTGCATTCAATTTTCATCCAGCTACCCCTTCCCATATACCTTTTATCCAAGTTTAAGCCTACTTTTTGAGGTATAGGGCTAAGTAAACCAGGAGACATTTCTTATCTCAGCATGGGCGCATGGATCCAAGGACAAATTGTGAAAAGAAGCAGTATACTAGCCAGGAAGGAAACAGTAAGCTTTTATGACCCAAATACTTAACAGATGCTTTATTAAGCTTTCCATATGAATTAATTTACCTAAATTTTATTAACAATTGAGGCTAATATGAAGTTGTATTGTGTAGTTTGTGCTAATAACCAAAGTTGACTGAACGTATTTCATTCTGTTGCTCTACAAATCTTACATACCTTTAAAAGTTTGGTATTATTAATGCATATCCATCTGGTGGAAGCGACAGAGAAAACATTTGACTTCATGTAATTCTTTTTTTGTATAAAGATGGTTTGCACGTTACAGCTATTTGTGAGCTATACCTTGATGAACTTTCATGCCTAGCTCTGTGTTTAAATAAAAAAATAGACTCTAAAATGTGTATGAAACTGCTTCCCATACTCCCAGTTTAAAGCTTTGTCCCTTCAGTTTACCACAAAAGGTACCTGCAGTTGTAGCAGTCACAGCTTGAGATACTGAAACACTGTATTCTTACCACCAGTTTTGAACAGCACTGTTATTATTATCAGATTATAATCATTAAGCCAGCAGTGCATTCTTGCAGCCAGGAAAGCCAACTGTATCCTGGGCTGCATCAAAAGAAGGATGGCCATAAGCAAGGTGAGGAGGTGTCTGTCTTGCTCTGCTTTGCCCTCATGAGGCCCCACTTGGAGTACTGTGTCCAGGCCAGGGACCCCCATTACAGAAAGGATGTGAAGCTGTTGCAACAGGTCCAGAAGAGGGCCATGCAGATAATCAAAGTGCTGGGCACTTCTATGAAGAAAGGTAGAGTGAACTGGTTTTGTTCAGCCTGTAGAAGAGAAGACTCTGGGGAGACCTCATTGTGGCCTTTCCAATGCTGTAAAAGGAGCTTATAATCACGAGGAGACCAACTCCTTACATGGACAGATAGCACTGGGGCAAGCAGGAATTGTTTTAAACTAAAAGAGAGGAGCTTTTTGTTAGATTTTGAGGGGAAATTTTTACCAAAAGAGTGGTGAGGCATTGGAGCAAGTTTTTCGGACAGACGGTGCATGCCTCATCCCTAGAGGCATTCAAGGCCAGCTTGGGTGGGATCCTGGGCAGCCTGGTCTGGTGGCTGGCATCCTTGCTTACAGCTTGTGAGTGATCTTTAAGGTCCTTTCCAACCTAAGCCATTCTGTGGTATGAACGAATTACACATGTCTACGTAAATTTGAGTGTACAGCTCGGCATATACAGAGAACTGAAAAGCTCATTGGCCTAGCAGTGAAGGAATTGCTGGGGGCCAGCTGTCCATTTTCTCACTTCTGCTTCCCTTCCCACACCGTCACTCCCATCCCTTACCAAGAGAACTTAAAACAGTTGAGTGAAACTGAGTAGTTCCAGAATTGAGCTCTTTGTCTGCAGTTGTAGTAGAATAGTCATCTGCCTTCAGTATTTATGGACCTTTAAGACCAGGCAGGATTTATTAGCTCAGAGGTAGTGTGTTTAAACTTGATTTCGCTGTTTCCAGCATTAGTTTTAGTCTGGGAGAACAGCAGGTGAGACATAATGAGCTGTAGCACATTTTAGACCTGACCCAGTTCTCAGCTCAGCCCCCATCTCTGGGAATATGCTGAAGAGAGAATGGGATTTATGAAAACCACGTTGCTTGGGGAAGAGTGCCTTTATCTTGCTGGATCTTGGTGGATCTTGGTGCTGAGAAAGCTGCAACTGACTGAATATTTCGTAGTGTGGGGCAGACCGAGTGTCCCTACGAGATGCACATGAGCCTATTTTATCCAGACAGTGTTCTAGATACACATGTTCTTTTGGCTATGTTTCAGAAGTTCGTTATCACAGACTCTAAAGACATCTAAAATTTTAGTGGTTGCCTTATTTTTCTGGTGGTAATTTTTTCAGAATGTTACCTTATAAAGGATTATTTTTCGAGTGCCAATCGCTCATACAAATCTTGATATCTATCTCCTACTTCTGAGTGTAACCTCTGATAATTATTCATTCTTAATTTATAGCTGCATTCTCTCACCTGCAGCTTGAATTTGTTTACATGCTTGAAAACATCAAAATCATTCTGTGCAACTTAGAATGGTTCCCCTGTAATTATGGTGGAATGACAATGGGGAGGTGTTTCAAGTAAAGTGTTCAGTGTGTTGTGGTGTCTGCCCCAGCACTGATATTGCACTGTTTGTGGATTAACAGGTTCTGCATTTATGTTAATTTTAATCAATTTGGAAACACCTTCAGTATTTTGTTTGCAAAGTGGAAGCAAATACCTACGTGTCACCTTAGTATTAATTTTGAGAACGCTTTGTTGTGGCTTGAATAGCTCTTACAAGAGTAGCATTTATCTGGCTGACATAATTTCATATGTTCTGCTTGCTTGGGGGTAGAATCTTTAAAATTCCTTCAGTAATTATTTCTGCTGTTAAGTGTAAATCCCCTGATATCATAGAATCGTACATAGGTGTCGTAAGGGACTTCTGGAGGTTGAGCATCTCCCCGTGCTAAATGCAGGTTCTCTACAGTAGGTAGAGCAGGAAAGCACTAGACTTGAACAGGGGAAGTTTTTCTAACTGTCCCAATACCTGTGTGCCTACGAAAGGTTAGTAGTGAGGGATGTGATCCAGAAGATGGATTTTTCTTGAATTAGGCTGTAGTGTTATAGACTTCTGCGTGTCTTTGACTGTCAGGAAGTTTATGCAAAACTTAATGTGCTGCTGGAGGTAGAAAGCAATGTTCTGTTCTGTTTTGGTCAGTGCCAAATGTTTCCTCTACTAAACAAGGAAATAAGTGTTTAAAAAAAAAAAAAAACAAAAAAAACCAAAAAACAAACAAAAAAAAAAAACAACCTGGAGCTCTTAATGTGCTCTTTCAGAAAGTTTTCCATTTGGGACAGCCTCACGTAATGAATTTAGAGATAGTGGAACTCCAAGTGCTACAAGCAAGAAAAGCTTTCACTGCAGAACTACCAGATAGCAGCAGTAGGAAAGGGTGAGAACCACCAGGATGACAGACTGATCAATCACAATGAGGTCATACACTGTAAATACAGAAAGAAAAATGAATGTCTTTCTGACAACTGAAACCACCTTTACTTCCCATTTGAGCCACAAGTTGAAAAAAAAGAATAAAATCTGTTGGTAGTGTTGCTCTGAATATACTGTGGTAGGTTTGCTTACAAATTGCAGTTCAGATGAGCTCAAATTGATTTGTTGTCTGTATGATAGTGGGTTTGTTGAAGTTTTACCTAGAAAATGATGGTGAGTTAACACATCTTTTCTGGTATTGCTTACTTAGAAAATATTTCAAATAAAACAATCAGGAATTCTACCATGTTTTACCAGCGTGCATTTATTTTGTGTTACTGCTGCTGTCTGAAGCAAGAAAGAGGAATGGCTGACAGCCTTTTGGTCTAACTGAGCTGTCTCCTGTTTATTTGCTGGGTTTTATCATAGGCCTTGTTTCATGTGGCTTAATGTGGCTGATTCCAATAGCATGGGAATAGATTGAAGGCTTAAATGCTTCTGTGCAATCCTGTTGTTAAAGTCTTAACAGGTACCCATCAGTAATGAATATTAATAGTCTGCCTTGCTGATGCAGTGTAACATGGTATCTTTTCTCTCACAGCAGACATAGAATTATTTAAAACCTTGAATGAAGGTAGTAATAACCTGCAAATGATCAGTGACAGGGTTTTGACTCATCAACCTTAGAGCTGTTCCAGAATACTCTATGTAGCAGTTGTGCTTCATCACTTAGTCGAGTAAGTTGAAAAAGAGGTGAGTTTTGAATCTGATTTAAAGTCTTGTAGCAGGCCCCGTGTTCTGCTGGAGCCTCGAGCTGTGCTGTTTTGTTTATGTAGGAAAAGCTGCTCTTTTTCTTCACCTGTAAATAATCGCTCAGGACAACACCAACTGTTTGGTTCTGTTTGTTCAATGAACTTTCAAATCAAAGTCATTAATTTAAGGGTTGTTTTGACTTCTCA